TAAAAAAAAATATTAATAATAAAAGATCAGTTTAATTTAATTTATTTTCAATTTTATGGCTACTTATGTATGTATGCATATATGTATATTAAATTATTTATTTATTAAACTTTATATTTATTTGTTTTATTCTTTTAATTCAATAAATACTGATAGATTATTTTAATTGACTTATTTTTAATTTTATTAGTAGTTATAAAAAAGTGAAGATTTAAAATTTGATCAGATATTTAATTACAAGCAATATTAATAATATTTAATATAAAATATATCGGGCATGAGTAGAGCTAAATAAATTCACTGGTTGATTAAAATCAGAAATATAAACATACATAGATGTATAGACCTAATGGAATTTACCACGCCTTCTTCTGTCTGTTACAACAGAAGGAAGCTACACAATAATGAGACACCCATTTAAGGCAAATATCTCTTTCGGGCAATGACAATCATTAAGTCAACTAATTGGCTTGTTTTTAGTTTATTTTAACCTAACGCAGCAAACATAAATTTGTGAGAGTTTATCTTGTTTTCCGCCGTTTACGAAGTAACTGAACGTAATACCAAATAAATGCAGAGTGCTTAAGCCCCAAATGTACATTAATTCAGCTCGCAAACTAGTTACATTTGACAAAGGAAAGTTTGTTGTGAAACAGATTCGGGGAACATGTGACAAAGACAGTTTACAAACTAATTAGAAGAGACAGAAAACAAAATGTTTCAGCATGGGAAACTTTCTGGCTCGGCAAATGCTCGCTGGGTACTAAATCGCATCTAAATGCGGTAAGAGGAGCAACAAAAATTAAATAATCAATAATTTTGTGAGACTTTCTTTTTTCACAAATTTCACCGAGGAGCAGAGCTGAGCATCAAAGGACTCTTTGGATTCACACCACTTAACAGTTCATTAGGCAGCCGACGCGTACGAACGGTATCTCGAATCTAGGCAAATGGAGATGTGCATGTCAAAGGGGGCGTGGCGAATCGAGTGTAGGTGCTCGCTTTGACATGGTTAAAAATAATACACAATGTGTTGGCAATTTTTCCATAATAATTAATACGCTCAACGCTCACTGAGCAATTAGTTAATTTGCCGTTAATAATATTTTTGCGATATTTTCTTTTCTTTATAATTTTATTTTTATTTATTTTTTTTCCCTTGTTTGTGTTGAGCTAGTTTTAGACGGGTTTGAGTGTGGCTGGCTGGCTGGCAGTATACTTTTGGGACACACTGTGCTGCTATTTATATCCCAGCTATCCTCAAGGAAGTTCATCAAAGTCAAGCACAGCCACAGAGAAGACGACACAGCGGCAGGACGTGCTCCACCTGCCAAAGACAGTTGACACATGTGTGTGTACGCAGCGTGTGTGTGTGTGTGTGTATGTGTATCGTTAGTGTGTATATATGTATCAGAAAAGGAAATTTATTTCATTACAGCTCAGCACCCAACGCAATCGCATCCTTCTGTCCGTCTCAGAATTTGCTCTGACTTTTTTCTCTCTCTCTCTCTCTCTCTCTAGCTCTCTCTCTCACTCTGTGCGTCTTTGGGTATATCTGTCTGTCTGTCTGCCTACCTCTGCCTGTCGATATGTTTGACTATTTGACTGGCAAGCATCCGTTTCAACTGCCTGTTTTTATCTATCTATCAGGCTGGCAGAAGGGAGGCGGGTTGGAGGGCAGGAGGCGGGCAGCTTTCTGCCAGGCGTACATAAATTTCAATGGAGGCACGTGCAAAGCTTCTGGCATAAAAATCAATTAGCTTAAATTAATTCCACGAAATATTTGCGCTGTAAAAAAACTTTTGCCAAACAAACACGTGCCGCAAATTCCGCATCTCTCATTTTCATATACACATACATATATATATACCTAAGTATATATATGTATATATATATATATATATATATATATATACATATATATATATATATATATATTTTTTTTTTTTTTTAATTAATTTTTTTTTTTTTATTTTTTTTTTTTTTTTTTTTTTTTTATGGCTTTTTTTTATTATCCCGTGAGCTTAGTCTTGTAAATTTATCTGCCCGACTGGGTTTTAGCTGCCATTGGCTAAGCGCTTTGGGATCTTTGTAATACCAAATGTGGCAAGAGCTCAATTTGTATTTTATATGCCAGGCGCATGCGATTATTTTCAAATTGCCAAAAGAGATGCATTTTGTTAGGGGTGAAGAGCTGTTAAGGGAAATCACTAACTGTTTAATAATAATGCTTACAAATATAATTAGCAAAGATTTTACAGCTTTTTGTTCATATGAAACTTAAATATTCATACAAACATTGATGGATAAATAAAAAAAAAATACTTGTTTTAATTCTAACTTAGCTTGTCACTGTGAAAAACAAATGCTTTGTATTCAGTGTTTATTACATAATCTTTTCGTATAAATGTATAAAATAAAGTCCTATCGATAAAAGTATTTGATTTGCTATCAATTACGTTTTGAAATAATGTTAATGATTATTTATAAATAAAAATAAATATTCTTTTTATTTAATATTCTTGGACTATTGCCAAACATTTTAATAAATATTTAATGCCTCACATTTATCTAACGTACGCATGCAACTAAACTCGTCTCATTAAGGGTATTCCCAGTAGCTCAAGTTCATGAATATTGTTTTATATTGTGGTCAATCGCTCTCATGATATTTATGCCCATCTGCGCATTATATGCCAAATCTGCAAACTCCTGTCTATTATGTAAACCACATTTTGTCCATTTTGTACTCAGTTGACCACACACACACACATAAATAAATGCATTATTCGTTCTACCATTATTTGAATAGTCAATTAGGCAATTTTCCAAACGATTTGACGAATGCTACAACCAATTGGATTATGCCCATTGAAATCATCCGATGCATAGGTAAAATGTGTAAATGTCAATTTGTGCATAATTAATAAACGTGAGAAAAGTCAATGATAATTCATATATATTACTTATGCCTATAGAGCGGTGTAAAATATGCTGAATTATGATATCCGATGTACAACCGAAAAATAACTAGAAAATGGATAACCAAAAATAGTTTTTTGTGCAAAATATTAGGTTTTAAATGTTTGTCCCAGTAACTTATTTCGTACACCTTTTATATCTATATAATAGAATGATCTAAAATTGAATTTAAATTTTTAAGGAGTTTCTTAAGTCTATTTTAACTTTGTAAGTATTCTGCCCATATAAAATTGTATATACACTTATACATATATATACTTAATCTCATATTCGAGAATGCTTAAATATATAATTAATATTCAAGAATGCTAAATAGGATCTATTATTTTATGGTGCTTTAGACCTGAGATTATAGAACAAGGAATGCAGAATCAAGTCAGCATGTGAATATCTAAAATTTTAAAAACTTTAATATTTTATATTTGAATATTTTATACTTATATTAATATCAAAATTATATAAAAAATCTTCATGATGTATCAAATTTGTTTCTGTTTCCTAAACAAGAATTTACTTATTTTGTTTCGCATTGCATACTTTATTTTTAGTTTTGTTTTTAATACTCAGTATTTTTCAACAACAAAATACTAAATAATTTAAATAGTTTGGTCTACTGCTGTGCACTGAGAAGTATTTAATTAATAAATATATAATGCTTTTGGTGAGTAAGAAATATTAAGGTTAAGGTTAATAATATTCAATACAGTTTATAATGTATTTACTTTAATATTCTTTATTTATCTTAATACTCTTTTTATTTATTTATACTATATCTATATACCTTACCTTCTATACATTTAATTACTAATTAAAAAATTAAATACATACTATATTTAAGTGTCCTTAGCTTCTGATTGGAATTTATCTACTACTATGCGAGTGCATATACATCTATGACAGAAGCATTATCTTTTGAGCACGTAGGCAAACAAGGTGTATGCACAACGTGAGCAACGCATTGGATACATTTCGTACAGGTCCTGCATCAATAATTGAGCTCTGGCTGAGTGATTGATAGACTGACAGGCTGACTCAACTGGGCGAGTGACTGTCCGACTGAATGAATTGCTTGACAGATGCATTGATTAGAGCATAAAGCATGAGTGCACCTTCGAGTAGGCAACATATGTATGAGACTCAATGACGGCTTTGACTGCCTTCTGACTGTCAATGGAAAAACTTGGCACAATTGCTGAAAGCTAAAGACGATAAGCGATTTCCTCCATCAAGGACATATGAGGGATATTTAACATCGCTGCACATTCCCAGCCTGTCGTCGGTGGGGGGAGCTGGGAAGGGACGGTTCTAAGAAGGGGAATGGTAAGGCCCGCAAGGAGACCTGGGTTGAGTGTGCGCACATTTCAAGCACGTCATCGGCTAAAGGGAAGAATAGCTGTAACCATGGACAAGGCAAGATTCAACAAAGTTTAACGAACTTACAAGCGCACACGGAGCACGTGTATGCACATGTGTGCGTGTGCGTGTGCGAGAGTGATACAGACGCAGAGAGAGAGAAGGAAAACGAGAGGCCGTGTGTGGGTGTGAATGTACGCACCTTTGTGCTTGCCGTTACATGCCACACTTTTGCGGTAATGCGTCAATTTATTATGAAGAGCTCCATTTCATACCGAAAGCTTTACAATTACAGTTGAAATGTAAGCTTGCGAGCTTTCGTGTGTGTAGCTTCTTCGTTTAGCTTTTAGAAACTTAATTTTTGTATGGGTTGGCGCATTGGATTTGTAGGGAAATTTTTAACTAGGCGGAATCTATGTTATTGCAGCTGGGAATGTGTTTAAGGATTTTTATTGATAGCAAACAATCAGAGCTTTTAGCGAGTTAAATAAGCTCTTATGTGAATAACTTAACTAAGAGGTAAATTTGCATACGCTTAATCTGAGGTGGAAAGCCTCACCTGCATATGAGGCAATATAAGTGAGCTTTATAATTCCAAATCAACATATAGAAAAGTTGTATTATCCATTTGCATAAAAAAAAATCTTTAATACTGGCTCAAGAAATTCGCTGCCATAAGCTCTATAACTAAGTTGAACACCTGTTGGAGGCTTTACCAGCCGTGCTCCTTGTGCAGGACATGCTTGTAGATGGTGTAGGGCACAGGATATGGTTTAGGAACTGGGATTTTAATGTGCTTGATCACTTCGACGGGATAGGGTTTCTCCACTTCCACAGGGTAGGGTTTCTCTACAGTGTACGGAATTTTGCGTTCAGTTATTTCGGGAACTATTTTGTAAACTGGAATTTGTATTTCCTGTTGCACCGGCACATGGACAGCGTACGGCTCGGGTATTTGCAGACGTATCACATTGGGCACCTTAGAAGTGGAGTGAGAGATTCAAATAAAATTCAATTCTTTTGATATTGAGTTAAGATTGAGCCACCTGAACAGCCACCGGATGTGGTATGGGCAGCGGCACCTTCTCAATGACATGGACGGGCACGTGCTTCGATGTCTCCGAGTATGTGGTGGGCGTATGCTGGCTATGATAGTCTCCGATACCCGTGCCACTTCCGATACCCGTACCGCCTGTCTCACTCCCGCCCTCGTAATGTCCTTCAGCAGAGTAATGCGAGGCGTGGGCCAACGACATGCCGCAGACTAAAAGCTGTGCAGGAGTCAAAACTGAAGATGCTGCTCATAGAGATATTCGTTTCGGATGCACTTACGAGTAACCACATTTTCTGAGCTGAGATTGTGTTTATTTGTTTGATGCACACGCGGCGAATAACGGTTAAGCAATACGAGTAGCTACAATGGATCCGTCGACTTTTATAGTCGGCACGTTGGCCAAAAGTGAAAGATTTGCCCAATGCTATTGGTCAGGTCTTTAGTTGATGTAACCATAACATTGAAATAGAAAGTATTGCATTACCATTCGGATCGCATAATTTTCATTGTGCTTTTCCAAGCAAATGTTATAACAACAAATTGGGTTCAAGTGGGTATCAAGTATCCCTCCACTCTCTCTCACTCTTTCTGTCTCTCTGTCTCACTTGCAATCCCAAAGTGAATGGCTTCAGGTGCTTAGCCCCACCCTGCTCCGCCCTGCCTCCTGGCACAATCTGGACCCATGCTAGCTTTGGGGTTAAGGTTGTTACACGTACTTGAGTTCTGCGATCGCTTCCGTCAACCGTAACCCGCACTGGCGAAAAGTGAGAGTCACCAAGAGCCAACGCTCCACTGCAGCCAGTCAGACCACTTTTTTCGCGAGTCCCACCAATTGTTGTTGTTGTTGTTGTTGTTGTTGTCTAGGAAATGGGCATTGCATTACTTTGTTGCGCCGTGGGCAAAGGCGCAGTTGCTGCCACTGCTGCTCCAGGGCACTGCAAAAACTGGTTGCCCATGACGTAAGAAAGAAACACTAATCACTGGGCCGCCTAACATAGAATTATGAATACGAGTCGGCACATTGTGGAACTATAAATGAAGTTTCGGCGAGGAAATGATTAAATGAACTGCAATTTTACCCACTAACACAAAGGAAATGAAACACCTGAAATATAGGTTAGACTTACGGCGAAATACAGAGTGGGCCAAAAGTAAAAGATTTAGTTATTCACAATTTATTTAAATTAATTTAAGTTATTTTCTTTTTTAAGGTTTGCTTAAAAAATTTACTTATTTTGCATGTTTTTATTTTTTTAATTATTTACTTATTTGTAAAAGATTTTGCTTTTCATTATTTATTTCAATTAATATAAGTTATTTTCTTTTTTAATGTTTTCTAAAAATATGTACATATTTTTTATATTTTTATTTTATTGATTTACTTACTTATTTGTTTGTTTTATTTGTTTTTCAATTTTTATAATTTCAAAGATCTTGTATTATGGATTTTTATACCCTGAACCCATTGAAAATGGGAAATCAGGGTATAATGGTTTTGTAAAAAAGTATGTAAGAGCTAGAGAGCTGAAATTTGGAATGCATACTCGTGTGTACCATACGCAGTACAAGTTTATCATATTTTTTCGATAACTCATCCGATAACTTTTTATCGAGAATAATCGAAAAATTGATATTGTTTGTTCAGCCTTATTTGAACACTTTTAGACCTAGAGACTTAAGATTTACTGTGTTTATACAGTTGATCGATACAAAGATTTTGTAATTTACAGATTTTAGATACCACGCCCCTTTGGCGTGTGGATGCGTGTGTATGCATGTGTGCATAAAAGAAGTGCAGAATGAGTAGAATATCAGCATAGAGGGTTCAGGGTATCTTGTTGTTGTTGAATTGAATTATCATTTCTTTTTTTTTTTTAATTTTTATAATTTATAATAATTTATATTATGTATTTTTATGAATAAACAAAACAAAAAGTGTAAGTAAAATTTCTCCGCCGTCTGCTGGCGGTCTCGTCCATTTTCCTTCACAAGGCAGACGGCAGGCTCTTGTGCTCCAGGTAAATATTCTCTCTAAGGGTTTCAAGAGCCCGAAGCAAGGTATGAGGTAAGCCCAAAATGTAAAAAAATAACCCTGATAAAGAAGTCTGTAACGGTTAAGATCTGTCCGGCCAGAAATTAGAGCTTTAGCGACCCGGAAGTGCTTCCTTCATTCAATTTGTTGGCGCACTTCCGGTGTAAACGGATTCCTTGGCCGTTGGTTTAAATACTGTTCGTTTATTTCCTTAACAAATTCCAAGCCCGAGCTACCATTTGATTTGCAAAATTTTATAGCATTTTCCCATTAGGTTAATAACTTTTTACTTTTTCATATTACGCAAGTTCTCATTATTTTCGTCAATTTGTTATTTATTTTTACAAAATGTTTAATTATTTGGCAAAAACTTTACATCGTGTAACTAATTAACTAATCGAATACAAACTTAATTAAATGCGTTTGCTTAGGATTCTTTATCTAACTCATCTTCCCATTCCCAGTCGTCGAAAACGTCCTATAAAAAGAGACAACAGAAGTTAAAGAATCAAATTTAATTAATGTTTGCAAGCCACCACTTACATAATCATCCAGATTGCCCTTCTCATCAGGCAGCTCCTGCGGCGAGCAGGCTACATACGCCACGCCCGAATTGTGGCCGGAGCACTCACAGGTCTGGGCATCGACGGGCATGGCACTCTGTGCCACACGCTTGGCGAAAATGGTGGCGAATCGCATTATCGGATACTTGCGCTCCGGCGCCAATTTGCGTGCACTAAATACGGAGCCGTTCGTTTCGAGCGCCAGCGATGTGCAAATGCCCAAATTGCTCTTGGGTATATGCACCTGGCTACGCGTCTCCTCATCGCCCTCGGGATAGCGTTTCGAGTAGACCAGCTTTTTGTCCAAGCCAAAGAAGTGACGCAGTTTCTTCGTCCGCTCAAAATCGAACTCGGTGTCCGCCAAAATATGCAAATTGACGCTCTCCTCCAGCATGAACTGCAATATGGAGGTGTAATCGAAGCGCATGTCCTTGGGCGAGCAGCTGCTGCACGAGAGCAAAATGAATGTCTTCGATACGCCCGGCCGGAAGTTCAAACGGGATGCGGCTGAAATGGCCAGCAGGATGTCCTTGCTGGTGCCATTGCCTGTATTGATATGCGCAAAGTATTCCGCCAGCTGCTCGGGCCTCGATGTAAACACATTACGCTCATAGATAATGCTGCGCGGCTTATCGTAAGGCTCAACGCCACCAAAGGCCACAACCGCATAGCTGGAAGTGAAATAAGAGTTAAACAAGTAAGGAAACTGTAGTTGGATTGAACGACTAGAGCTACCCTGCAGCCCGAATGATCTGGGATCTGGGATACTTAAAAAACTGTGAACTCTTCAGAATTACTAGCCAAGTCTTGGCTAAATAGCTCACCGATTGTTGGTTATCTTGGCCGCCTGCAGCTGCTCCTCAATGCTGGCCACGACGCTCATAATGCTCTTGGTCTCCTTGAGATTCTGGTTGCAGGACTTGGCCTCCACTATGAAGACCACATCGCTGCTGCGCGGTATATCCGCACCACTGAGCTCGATAAACTTGCCCTCCGGCACATAGGAGCCATTGGCCAGCTGACAGCTGTTGAAGAGTTTACAAAGAATTAAGTTTGAGAGAATTGTGGATTGTTGCAACAGTTCTGCACTTACAACACACACTGATCCGGCACACGCATGGGCACCTTGAACGTGGTGCAAGTCTCGATGTAGGCCAGAGCAGCGGCACAGGCGCCTTTGATGGCCGGATGGCCCGGGCGTATGGGCTGGGATTTCATGCCCAGATCCAGGCACATCTCATAGAAGGGCGCCGAATCAACGACAGCACTGCACGCGGACAAAATGCCCGAACGGAAGAAGCTGTGGCATATCTGCAACACTTCCGGACTCGTGGGCAGCGGCCTGGCCAGCTGCGTCTGCTGGCAACGCTGCAGGCTCCAGGAGTCGGTGAACTGTTGTGTCTGGGCCGTTATCAAGCCATTGGACATGGTGTATTCGTCGTAGGGCTCATTATTGAGCGTGCCCAGCAATCCCGCTGTCTTGGCAAAGTACCAGCCGCTCACCTCGAGCCAGCACAGATCGAACTGCACATTGCAGTGCAGACTGAACTGTGTGTCCGAGATGATGGACAGAATGTCCAGCTCACGGTAGATGTTAACAGAGCCCAGCTTAAGCGGTAATATTGGCTGGGGATTGCCATTGATGCTAATGTGCTGTGGGCAAAATAAGGTGGTTCAAGTTGCTTGCAACTGAAGAACAGCTGGAAAGTGTTTGACTTACATCAGTGCCAAGATCTATCTCAATCAGCTGTCCATTGGCAATGAAGCTCAGCTTGCGCGTGGATATATCGCCCGTTCCACGACCTGTCAGGGGTTGAGCCTGCAGTGAAATAAAAAACAATAATCGAAGTTGTATAAAAGGTCAGTAAAATGGAGTAAGCATAAAACCGATATGCTCATTTCCCTCTCGTGAATGAGTATAATTAAAAAACCAGTCAAAGTATTTCTTCCTACCGCTGGTTCCAGCAGCAGCGTAAAGTTGCGTTTGAAGAAGTCGTGTGCCAACAGATAGCTGCAACGTCCACTGCGTCCACCTGTTGCCAGCTGCTCGTAGTTCAAATTGAGGCCCACGAAGCGCTGGTCAAAGGTCATATAGTGGCGTGAGTCAATGAGTAGAGCACGAGCTGTAAATATACAATACAAACATTATCATAGATCCCACTCGGTCCATGGCTCATACATACAATAGTAGGGCGGCAGCCAGGTGTTGGGATCCAGATGGGTTCTCAAGTTGTACAGTTTCATGATGATCGAGGAGTTGGTCTCGCTGAGGAAGCTGTTCACCTTGGCGAGCATTTTGTATTCAGGTATCTCCTCGAATTTGGGCGTCTCGTTGAAGGCATGCCAGGACATGGGCAGCTTCTGCTCCAGATCAATGATGCCCTCCTCCGGATCAAAGATGAACTTCGTCTTGGCCTCCCTGTACATGTCGGCCGTCTCCAGCGCATTCAGCGCATAGTTGCGGAACTTGTTGCGCAACAGGCCGTACAGTTGATGGAGGCGATACTCCAGCTGCAGCTCATCCGCAATCCATTCCAATTTGGCCACAATCTCATTGTACTTCTGCACCACGATCTGCACTTGATCGATCTTCTGCAACTCCTTGATCTCCTGCCAGATTTCCATGAGCACCTCATTCAGCTCGGCTCCAAATGGCACCAGCTTGAAATACTTCTCCTTGATGAAGTTCCAGGCCAGCGTCGAATACTTTTTGATATTCGTGATGGCATCGTTCGCCTGGATATCCCTGTACAGACGTTCCACATCCGCCGTAAAGCTGGACATCTTGTTGAAATAGGGGGACTCAGCTAGCTCGTTCGTTCGCTTGTAGATGAAGTCAAAGACCTCCTTGCTCAGATCCCAGAGGGTCGTCTCTATGAAGCTGATGATCTTGAACATGTGCGGCTCGAGGCGCTTCAGTACGCTCAGCCAATAGGTCTCCGCCAGACGCCAGAACTTATTCCACAAGTTCTCAATGTACTTAATGAACTTAATGTGCAGCTCCTTGACGAACTTGTCATACTTCTCGATGCCCTTCTCCATGAGCGTCGAGATGTAGGCTAGACTTTCGCCATGGAAGAAGCGCGTGATGGCATCGAGAACATTGTTGTAGGTCGCCTTAATGGTGTCGATCAGCCAGACAATGCTGTTGCGCAGCGCCTTGCCCGAATCACCCATGGCGTGCCACAGCTCTGAGAAGATCTTGGGCACCGACTCGATGTGATCCCTGATGGCCAGCTCGTCCAATATGGTCAGCGTAAAGTTGACCACATTCTTGATATAGAAGTCGTTTGCCTCGTACGACTGATTGACAAAGAGCCGCAAGTCGTTCAGATCCTCCTCCAATACACTCAGTTGGCTGATGTCGTCAATGAAGTGCTTGTTGTACTCCTTGGCCGTGTTCCAGATGACGCCCAACGAGTCCACCGACTCGGTGTATAGAGACTTGATCCAGAAATCGATGCCATCCGAGAAGGAGTTATATAGCGAATTGCTAATGCTCTCGATTTTCTCACGCAGCTCGTCCCTAATACTGGGACGCCAATGGAAGCGTCCAGTGATCAAGCGAGAATGGTTCATCTTCAGATACGAGCTCACATCAATGATGCGAATCTCCTCGTAGTTGCGCCAAATGTCCAGATATCCACTACGCGTATCGGGTATATAGCCCACCATTTGCAGATTCTGGCTGGCATCCTCAGTCAGATTGAAGTCCATGCGAGCGGTACGATCCAATAGATTCACATAGACATAGCCCGTGTGATTGGTGTCGGGTGTATCCCATACAGTGGCATTCAGCCCATATACGGGATACTCCACCGTTGGCAGCAGCCAAAGGCGGACCGCGCGGTACGGCGAGCGACGCTCGTACTCCAGCTCTCGTTTGTTGAGATCCAGCAAAGCCAAGAACTTGCCATAAAGGGGCGAATAATCGCGCTTGTAGTGCGCCGTCGACTCCGTCTTATAGTACGACGGACGCGCCACCAGCGTGCCATTCATCTCCACATCGAGCTCCGAGGCCGGATGATAGCCGTAGATCTTCAGCGTGTAGTTCGTGAATCCCTTTTCGCTGTACAAATCGCGCAGATGAGCGCCCAGCGTAATCAACTGTTCTGGCTTCTTCGAATAGTCGATGGTCAGATGAGTTTTCAGTAGATCCTGCAAGCCGCGATAATACGTGGCCCTGCACAGGACGTCCTTCTCGAGGTACGGATGAGCCACTGTCCAGATAAACGTCTGATGATCCCGTTCGCCCTTACGCAATGGCTCTGCCCTCCACTGGAAGTTGCTGCGAATCTTTCGGGACTCTTCATGCGGACCTGTGCCAGCCCACTTCAAGCGCAGATCTGCATTGAATTGCTTATCGGTTAGATAATACCAGCCAGAGGACGAAAGATTGCGTTTCGGATAAAAGACTTCAATTGCGTAACGCTGGGACTCATTGCCGTTCTATTGAAAAACAAATACAAATTTAATTTATACGCAAACAAAAAACTTTTACAGAAACACAGGATTTCTGGGCTCTTAAAAAATGTCCAAGCATTTTGTTTAATAACTTCTGTTTTACTAAATGGATTAAAAAAATTTTTTTATTTAAATTTTCAGCATATCATCCCATTATGATCATATTGAACATTTTTCCTTTTAGTAAAAATGCCAAATCATAAACTAACTATATTTTCAACTGAAGGTAGTAGCCAAAATATAACAAAAATCAAAATATACTAGACTAAATGCAAATTTTGAAGATTTTAGCTCCAGAGATAATAATAAAAGCTTAATTTTTGGTAATTTAATTTTGATATGATATTGAATCATTATAACGCAAATAGTTATTGATTTTAATAACAATCTCAATCGGAGCATGCTCTATACGAAACCACAGACAGCCAAACGACTCAGCTCGTCATCCTGATCAAGAATATATACCCTATGGGGTCGGCCACACCACTTACTACCTATTACATGCATTTTAATAATATCATATAATATAATGATATAATATTAGATCAATGTAATAGCTTCATTATCTCTAGGTCTTTGCTCACCGTGCTAAAGTTGCCCATTTCCAAGTTGTAGCCTATCCAGGCCGTCTCCGATAGCTCGATCTTGGCATGCTGCTTGACCACATGTGGATTGACATTCTCGTACCGGGTGGTCAGGATAACGGCACGATTTGGATGCACGGCAACCACCTTGAATTCCTGAGCCGTTGCCGTGGTCAACGCATGCAGCTCGCCCGTCAGATTGAAGTTCTTTGAGTTGCGCAACTCGAAGACCTCGATGTGCTTGATGTCCCGGGGCTCACCCGCATTGCGCATATCCCTGGAGCTGACATAGTGTATGCCCAGCGGCTTCATATCGTTCTCCAGTGTAATGTCCGTGGTGTCCTTGTAGATGGGATGCCTCTTCAGCTCCACGCGCTTGTACTTACCATCCAATATCTGTTGTGCATTATAGACGACCTTCAGATTGCCCGAATCCTGATTGGCGCGTTCCTGCAGACCGTAGGCAATATCCGCACGATGTCTGGTGGTCAATGGCACCTCAATCTCGATGTTGCCATTCAAGTTGTGATTGCTGCTGTCGCTGTCGTAGTTGCTCTTCAGCTTGAAGAACGCGCTGTCCTTGGGCCAGTTGCAGCGCACATAACGATAGCTCTGGCCACTGCGTAAGAGATTTATAATTAGCTTATATGCATATATACATATATATGGCATCTTTTTCTACTCTTACCTCTTTGTGGTGAATTCGAAATCTGTTTTGAACCAGCTGACATTGAGGAAAGGCGTCGTTGAGTTGATAACACCATGCATGTTGGTCAGCGAGCTGAAGGTCACGTCCAAATCGCTGAGGCGACGACTCGCTGGATAATCCAGGGCACAGACCAGGTTCACATACTCCGCACTGGGCTTGTCATAGTGGCCGCTCAGTCCGAATGTGTGCTCGCCCTTGAACTTGGGCGTTGTCAGCGTCGCTTGGAATTCGCGGCGATTGTTCTGCTTCTGCAGCAGCGTGAAAACGCCTTCGACAATGGAAATATTCAGCTTTTCACCCCAGTCCAAGTGAGCCACACCCTTCAGAGATTTGGTATCGTTGTGATAGCTGAAGTGCGTCGAGAGCTTGCGTTGAGCTTCCAGCGCTTCGTAGCTGCCCTTGAAGTTGAATTCCGGACTGCTCAGCTGTTTGCTAATGATATTTCCGCGATAGCTGCCGCTCAGCTTGTGGATGTCGCCCACGGGCAATGGCAGCTGGGTGAGCACATCGAATTCGAGGTCATCCGTCGATTTGTAGTGCAAGCTGCCATTCACATCCAGATTCCACTTGGAGTCGACGCTCAGACGACCGCCTGACTGTAGTTGTAGGAAATTCTTGCCGGGATTCAGGTATTTTGCGCTGGCGTGCACGATGCGCGGCTTGGCCTTGGGCCGCTCCATGTAGCTCTCCAGCACCAGCTGCATATTCTCGGCCAGTATCCAGGACCATAAGCAGCTGCCACGTCCAATGTACTTGCCAATCTGATACTCGCCCACGACCTTGCCGCCATCGGGGCGTACACCAATCTCGGAGTGCAGATGCACTGCATCGATGCCCAGGTGCTTCCACGGCGTCTGCAGATTAACATCGCCGACTAGGCGACCCTGCTCCATGGTCTTCAGATTGCCATAGAAATTAATGCGAGCGATTTCCGGTTCGGTGCTCTCAACCAGCACGGAGAAGTCCATGGGCCCATTTCTGTCGCTGGCGCTATATCCACCAGATATCTGACACATTTTGCCGTCTTCGATGGTGCTAAAGGAGAACCGAATTTTCCTCGGCCCCGCCTCATTGACGTTCAGCTCAATGACGCCATCGCGACCGCCGGACTTGGGCTGAACGCGCAACGTGACATCTAAGGGCAACGTGTCCTTCATGCGAACCACGCCTCGTACATCATAGGTGGCCATATTACGATACAGATTGCCCATCACATCGTAGCGCTGCGGATCTTGCGGACTGCGCACGATGCTGCCGTGCATGGAGATGTTGCGGTAGTTCTTCAACGGCGTCCACACCTCCACATTGAACACATCCTGCTTCTTGTTGGCGCGCGTGCCGTAGGCAATGCTCTGGCCATCGCGACTGAGGAAATTCAGATCGAAATTCAGCTGCGGACTGGGCCCCTTCGTGACCACAATGGAGGTGGAGGCCAGCTGGAGGGGCAGCATTGTTGTATGCACCTTGCCATTGGCATTGATATAGTAAGCGGGATCTGTATGCCAATCGGATTCGATTTGCAGCTGGAAGAAAATATAAATATTAGTTAATGAATAGTTGTATTAATGCAAGTTGTTGTAATTACCTTGTTAACCACGCCATTGTCCGTGACCTCGAAGCGTATGTCAACCATATTGTCCACAGCAGTAAAGTCCTTTTTAAAGTACGCATTGCAAGCGTAGTGCGGTATAACATTCGTTTCCAACAGAATGCCAACAGATGTTTCCAGGAAATTGTCTTCATTCTGAAATCAAAATCAATCATATAAACAAGTGAATACTAGGAAAAAACGGTGCAGTCGGGCGCTACCAACTGCTGAATACTTATTAACGGTCTACACCCCTAATCAAATCAATAGAGCAAGTCTATTTGACCTCCTATATTTGTTAAGCCATATCTTTTGATCTTGAGCTATTTACCTGAGTAAATATTTGCTTAAAATTATAAAGATTTTGCACAAATCACTGCATAGTTAGAGATATTTACTTATTTCTCTTTCATGAATGAGTATAACAATGAGGAAAGTACAGTGCTCACCTCCACAGCAGCAGCCAGAGAGAGATGTGTGTGGGCTGTAATTGACGTAATGTTGCCCTTGTAGGCATTGTCATCCAGCTCGATTCGACCATATATCTTGATTTCGGGTAGCTGCTGGTAGGGCGTAATTAGCTTCAGCTGGACATTGTAAGCCCTGGGCCTGACATTGTCCACCACCTTGGTGTAGTTGACCTCGAAGCCCAGTTCCTGGGACTTGGCGTTGACATCGTTCACCATGAACAACACGCGCTGATAGAATGCATTGAAATGCAAGTCAATGTGATACTCCAGCACGGACTTGAAGTCCTTGGCGAAGTCGAAGGGTGTGGACACGGTGAGGACATTTAGCACATTGATGTAGTCGGGGAAGTACAGACGATCCCTGAACTCTAAACGTCCCTGGGGCAGCTGTAGATTGCCCAGTAAGAAATAGAAGTCCATGTTCTCTTGAATATCCAGCTCGCCATTTATGGTGGGCCACACGAGCGTGTCCACCTCGAAGTTAACCAGGTAGGAGATGTAGTCCTCTTCGTCTTCCTCGTCGTCTTCGTCAACTTGAATTTTGGGTGGCTGGAAGTCATCGTCAAAGTGCAAGTCCAAGAGCATCTTCTGATTGCTCAGCTTATTCACCAGCTTCGGCTTCGGCTGGCCATTGATCTTGACGCCCAGCTTATAGTTCGAGAGCTTTCCATGCAGCTTGAATATGAAGTTATCCCGCTTTAGCACCTGCGCTATGAAGCCGTTCTCCTCGAATCCTGCCAGCGGCGTGAACACCAGATACGAGTACTCAAAGTCTGTCATGTTATGCATATGCCAGACGCCAGTGAAGCCCAACGTGGCATTGTTCCATATGCCGCGCATGTCCACGCGCTCCGTGTTCACCTGCCCGAACACAGCCGCCTGCTGGAAGCTCTCAATGGGCGTGGCCACGCTCAGCTTGACATCAAAGTCGAGCAGATTCTTAACATCCGCCAGCGCCTCAATGCCCAATGCAGCCGTTGGCGCTCGCACCTCCGCCACAGCGTGTCGCTTCTTCTCATTCAAGCCGAATCGGCCGTGAATTGTGCGGAACTTCTCCAGCGGCGTTGTTATGTTTACGATCAGCATATTATCCGTAAACTTGCGCACATAGCCGTCCATTGTGAGCGTAAACTCGCGCACCTCAAACTCCAATGAGGCTGCGCCCTGCACCTCACGCTTATCATTTAATGAAAACATGGCCGCCAGCCCGCCCTTGCGATAGCCCTCAAACGGACTGACCAGGGCGACAGTGCCCGAAATATTCTGATAGCGTTGATTGCGAATCACATTCCAGCTGGATATAACGCTGTAGGTGTTGAAGGTGTCGTTCTGTCCCTTGTAGCTCAGGTACAGATCGGTGTCGACTTTCTTTGGATCCTGCCAGTGTGCCACCTTCACATTGATGGTGGGAATGTCCTTGATGGTGCTGTTGATGCCAAAGCGCACATCGAAGCTAACCAACTGATCGTGTATATCGTGGTCGCTCTTGTAGCCCAGCTGCAGTTTTTGATCTTCCGCCCAGGACAGCGTTGCGTTAGCCAATATCAGATTTTGCACATTGTAGACTCCGGCGGTCAGCGTGTTCGTGCGCCAGCCCTCGAAGGGTGTATTGACCTCGGCGTGCAGCCAGTTGTGCAGGTTCTTGCCCGGCATTATGCCCGCATTGTAGCTGAACTCAATCACCTCAGTGATGCTCCAGGAGCCGTGCGCCTTGCCATAGTAGTTGGGGCCGCCCGTGTAGGTGCTGAAGCCGCAGTTGATTGTGCGCTCCGGATAGGTGATCATCACATTGCCGTCGTAGTGCTTGTTACCCGGATTATTGTACTCCAAGAGCAGGCCCAAACGTTCCGATGGATCACGATTCGCATCCCATTTCAGCTCCAGCGAGACTTCCTTGCGTTTGTCAATGTTTAGCAGACCCAACTTAATGTGCACATCTCGAAGTCTAAAGGGTTTACAATAGTTGAATACCGAAATTGAATGAGGATCTTAGCGACTGCACTTACTTGTCTATGTGAATCTCCACCTGCAATTGCTTGGGCTGCTCGGAGAGCAATTTCGAATTGATCCAATAATCCTTCTCCTTGACCTTTAGGCGAATCTCAGCATTGGAATTGCGATTATGCGCATTGGACGTATATTGCACGGTCAGCCCGTACGGATCCTTGCCGTATTTGCTCTGCACATCGAAGAAGATCAGCAGCTGATTGCGTCTGTAGACCATGTTGATCGAGGTCGTCTCGAACGATGGACTCTCCACGATCATTTTCAAGTGGAGCAGCGCCTGCAGGCGCGAACTGCGATCCTTGTAGTTGCCCTTGACGGCTATCGAGTGGCCCGTAAACCAAGAGCCATTGATAAAGAGCTAAAAGAGTACGATAAATAAGCCTTTAGAAAATATATACTAAGGTGGACAATCTTTTACTAACCATATAATCCTTGGGCGCCTTTTCGTTCACCTTCACGCTGGCCGTGCAGGAATTGAAATCGGGTACGGACACATTCATATAGGCATCTATGGCAAAGAGACTGCGACGCGGCAGGTGGACAGAGAAGAGACCGGTTACCTCCTTATCGGGCGCATACTTTAGACCCACAATGACATTGTGCTCGGTGCCATTTTTGCTGCGCTCCTCATGCCTACGAAAGAAATATATAGATATACATATAATCTCTCTCTCTCTCTCTCTCTCTCTCTCTCTCTCTCTCTCTCTGTCTCTCTGAGTGTGACTATTTTACGTACTTGATCAATATTCGATAATCGATATTCGTTTTGGGCAGTTTCAACTCCAAGCTCGCCCTCGTTCGCGAGCCCTCCAAAGTAACATTCTCAGAGCTGGAGCGCGCAAAGATCACTCTAATCAAGCTGGTGTAATTCGGATTGATATAGTCGGGCGCATTGTTATAGGTCAAGAAGCCCTCGGTATGCCCTTGCAGACTGAGCCAGGTGGCATTTGAGGCAAAGTTCAGCTTCGGATATGCTGTGGTGCGTAGCTTCACATTGCCACGGTATTCCGTCTTCGACTTATCGCCATTGTTGACTAGACGGCCGGCAAAATTGATGGTTTCGATCTTGGAAGCTTGGAACTAGAAAAGCAATTGTTGATTATATTACACAAGTTCATAAGCCTCAGTTAAATCTCTCCTTTACCCTATAATTGACAGTCATATTCGTTGAGGTTGTCACTTCGCTCTGCACAATGTTGCCGCTGACCAGAGCCTGCAGCTTCTTCGTCTCGAACGAGAGATCGATGTCGTGCTGCGTGATGCCGTTCTTCTCGTTGATCTTTATGGAGCCGACCAAGCCGGTTATGTTCACGCCATTGATGGTCAGAAGCATGCGTGGCTTATAGATCCAGGCAGTAAAGTCCTGATAGCGTCGCAGCTCCATGCCCAGATCCAGTGAACGATTCCCATTGTTGTCCAGATAGACATCGAGGCGTCTGTGATCCGGATTGCCGCTATATCGGCATCCAGCTGATGCCCGATTTTTGCCATTGATGAAGGAGACGGATGCATTGAGGCCCTGCGGAACACTCGTCAAATTGGCCACCAGAATGCGGGGAATCCGCGAGCCAGGCGTACTGAATACCAGGCTAACATTATTGTCCTCATCCTGTTGATCCCAATTGTATTCAAATACATATTTCTTCGCCGTCAAATCTGACTTTTTCAGTATGACACTGAAGTTGAGCGGCCCGGATAACAATAAACTGGGCAAGGCTTCGGTTGTATTGCTCAGATCGGGCACGCTGTAATGTGAACACATTTGCAGTCCAATCGCCTTGTCCAGCACGGGCCAGGTGCAGGTGGAGTTGGCGCTGCGTTTGGCGATGCCCGCCTGGGGCAGCTCCTGATCTCGCTTCACTACCAGAAGCTCCGAGCGTGCGCTGAAGATTTCGTTCTTGTCCTGTGGCAGGTTGAAGGAAAAGGATATGAGATTACGGCCACGCATCTTCAGATTGGCCTCCACCTCCGAATTAGAGTACAAGTTGCTCTTGACCTTGATGCCCGACTGGCCCCAGAACATGTCCGTCTGCATTGTGGTGATCACATCCACAGACACAGAGGGCTTGAAGTGGCCTTGGACATCGAAATGCCAATCAACGTCAAATTTATCCAAATTGCCCGAAACACTCAAATCAATGGAGGATGCACCAAATGCATGGATAGCCAAAGGCATGCCCACGGCCAGCGGTACGGTATATGCGGCGTCCAGAAATACTCGGGATTTTCGGTAATTCAAGGTCTTGCCCGAAAGCACCTTTTGCGCCTGATAGAAGGGATTGAATTCCGTAATTAGCCTCGCCACCTCCGACATGGACTCGAAGTTATAGTAACGCAGATCGTTGCCAAAAACGCGCAATCCAAACTGCGCTCGCGGATTGTTGTAGTCGTACTTCAGCTTGTAGCCCAGCTGATCAATATTGCGCTGGATGCCCTGTTTGCGTGTCGTAGCTGTGGCATCTGCATTCCGTTTGGATCGCGGAGCATCCTCTAGCTCATCCTCGAATTCGTATTCGCCATCTTCATCCGACTCTGAGCTCTCCGCGGTCTTACGCTTCAGCCGCAAGTTGTCCAAATTGAGCAGATTATCCAAGGTATCATCATCCTCGGCACTCTCATTGCCCAGCCAGCGATTGAGAAAGGCGAGCTTCTTGCGCAGCAGCTTGCCATTCAACGGGCCCTGCGGACCAAAGGCACTGGCAACCAGCTCCTCGAAGCCCTCGGCGCGTGCAGTAAACTCAAAGAAGTTCACCGATTGGCCAAAGAGATCGGCGGTGAAATTGACACTGGCCATGCGAGGTAGATAGGAATCGGTGCCGAAAATCAGATTTGCATCAGTTGTGGTGCCTAAAAGGAAAGTAATTCTATTCAAAATTGATCAAATATATATTACAAGCAAATTTGCCTACCAAAATTGTACTCATCGAAGAACAGACTGTGCTCATAGTTGCGGGAGAACTTGCGTATATCCATCTTAAACTTATCAGCAAGCTCATCGTTCAAGAGCAAGCCCTGCGCCTCAATGCGAACCGGCGAATTGGATTTAGCCAAATTGGTGAGATGTGACCAAACAAATGAGCCAACTTGATTGATTTGCTCATTCTCCAGTATGGACTTGATGGAACCAATAGATATATAATCCGGACAACGCATCGTCTGCAGATAGCTGTATATACGCAGCTCGGAATTAAACGTGTAGTCGGCATAGTTGTCCAGGAAATAGCTGCGGTACTTCAAGCAGTCAACGCGCCTGAAGGCGAGTATGCTCTGCAAGCGTATGTCCACTGGCACCTCCTTATTGTTAATGATCAGCTGCAATTGCTCTGCAAATCCGGGGGATATGACTCCAATGTTGCCGAGACCCTTGAGCAGTATAATCAAACGCTCGCGTTGCTTGCGATCACCGCGATATCTCTTGAACTGGCTGAGGAACTCGGTCTCCAGCAGATTGATAATCTGCACCACCTTGAGATCCTCCTCGCAATTATCATGATGCTTGCAATAGCTGTGCACTACGGCAGTTGCGCCCAGCGTGTACTCCGGATCCAGTTTGTTTCTAGCATAGTCGAGAATGGTGTAAAAGGTTTCGAGTGTCTCTGCGTCGGGTCGCGTGATGAAGGACAGCGAGCTCATCCAACTATGTGCCATTTCCTTGGTTAGCTTCTCATTTACAATCTGATCGCGCATCACCTGATACGATGCAGTGCTGCCAATATAGGGCAGTGATTCCAGCACGTGTTTTCTGCAAATCAGTAACCAGTTAGATATGGATCTCTAATTGATACTTAGATAATACTTACTTGCCCTGATCGCAAATGCTGGCTGAACGCTCCAGCAGCACTGTGAGTGTCTTATAGTCCAGACTCTTGGATGTTTGCAGAAAGTTGGTGAAGACATCGATAAACTCGCGTTGAATATTGGGAAAGCCAACCACACACATTTGCATCAGATGATCGCGAGCCGCCTTGATCTCGTCATGGCTGGGCTTCACAGGGGGCGTGTGATCAAAAACTAACGCAGAGCGTCGCTCCACGAATTCAACATCTATGCATTGGAGAAAATAATTGAGATTCGATTTGAGAATATGTATTCTATGTATATGTATATAACTTACTCTTGTCCAGAAACTCGCTTACGCCGTAAGCAGCCTCGCTATCCAACCGCAGCGAGCTTTTTGTAGTGGTCAATGCACCAGAGCTGCCGTTAGAGAAGGGCACCAGCAGATGGCTCTCCATGCAGCTGATCTCGCGATAAACATTGTTATCAATGGTCAACTGTAATCAAGAGAGAGACATATTATTGAGTAAGACTTTTATTTGGGATTCCCATAAGCTCATTTTGATTTCAATATTAAATTCATTCAATAAGCCTCTCTTTGTGATTCTCATAATTGATTTTGATTTCGGAATTATCTTCACATACTTACATTACAATAGCTCAGTGAATTCAGTATGGGCCAAATAGTTTTATCGTCTCGGAATGTGTACGGCGTAGTTTGTAACACTGATTGGGTAGCATAACGTCGTCGACATGAGGATATGTCCTTGGTTTTACGTATGGTCACGAAGACGTCGTCGGTGGACTCCAATGAATATTGAACGTCACATTCGCCGGAGACATCCGTTTCGGTTGTATTGTAGTCCACATCGAAGCGCATCATGGTATTTTGAAAGCTCGACAGGATGCCCTTCTTAAAGTTGAGCACCCAAGGTAATTCCTTTTCGGTGGGGCACACCTCGCTTATGTGGCCATCGTGGAAGGCAAAGCGTAACAGATTCTTTGTTAGATCTACGGACAATTCGCTGCTCTTGGGATGCATATGCTCAAAGTCGTTCGAGCCATGCTCATCGGAGGCAGACTCGCTGCTCAAGTTGTCATAGTAGTCATAGACATCCTTGGCTGGTTTCTCTTCCGAAGCGGTGCTCTCATTGTTTGCCTCTGGCTGGGAATCGTACAGACTGACTGTATTGATACGCAGATAGCCTTCGCAGCCCTTGGGAAAGAATATCTCGAGATTCGCTTTCAAATACAAATCGGAGCTGTTGTCCCCGGAGCCGGCGAATTCCGTGCGCACGGAAACCCTATATTCATATTTATAGAGCTTTTCACCATAGCCAAACTTCGGATTGTTTGTATCACATTGTGGGCGACCACAGATTCGTGGATCCTTAAGCGGATCTAAGAGAGGCAAATGAAATATAATATTAATAAGTTTTTAATGAAATAGATTATTAATAATTTTTAGTATTATTAAATGAAATCTATAATTATTTCTGATGAGTAATTACATTATTATCTTTGTAAAAGTTTTTATTCTACTATGAAATATACATCTTTTTAAATTTAATTAAGATTATTTTTAATTTTTGAAAAATTTGATTCTGATTAAATTTTTATACATTCAGTATTTCATAGATTATTTAACTTCTACTCACTTTCTCTTGCCGCCTGACTCTGTGCTACGATCAGCACCAATAGCAGCCATATAGCCATCGAATAATTGGTTACGCCCATTATGGGCGTGGCCTGTATGTGTGCCAACGTTGCCTTCAGCTCAGAATATACGCGAATCGTTTAGCACGTACATGGAACAGCTGCAATAAAATTATAATCTGCAAGGAAAATAAATGTTATTGCCATAAGTATTGAAATATTGACAGACTTCACTTATGTGTGTATAGACGTACATATGTGTGTGATTATTTCATTTAAAATTTAATTTAGAATGCAAATTGCATTTATGCATAATAAAATTTGCGGTTTGTTCTTTGGCTTCCAACTGATTTAACCCCTTCGAATTTCTCATTTGTTGAGTTCATTAGGTAAAATGAAGATTTAGCCTTCATTTAATTACTGTGATTGTTCAACTGGAAAGCGGACAGCCGACATAACGAGAACCTGGAATCATTTCCAGTGCAGTGCAAACGCAATCATAATTGGAAAGGGGCGGAAGCGTCTGCTGCAGTCGTTACTTCAAATAATATTGCAAAATTATATTTGTGCGCTTTCACACTTGTTGGTTAAGTTGTTCGCTCCCTTTGAAGCTCAACATATGCCTGTGGTGGGCGTGGCAGAGAGAGTCGCCCACTATTGTAGAGCCCTTTGCGTATTTCGCTTTGCCATACTCAAAGCTGAAGCCAAAGCAAATCAATTGAATTTCCACTTGATTCAACATAAAGCACACAGAATAAAATGAAAAGAAAAGAAAGCGTCGGCAAAAAAAGAGCCGAAATCCCCTCGCTCCAAACGCAGCTGCAGCCCTTCCATCATTAATTCCAGCAATAAAGTGCGAACAAATCGGAGCACTGCCATAAGGAGGGAAAGAGAGGGCTAGCTTACGACATTGCGATTGACGCCAACTGTTGGTTTGCATTTGCATTTGATTTTAGAGCACGAAAAAGAATTGTTAACGGTTGTTTTGCACATTGCCTGGCTCGCTCGCTCTCACCCGCTCACTCACCGCTCTCCCCTTCTGCTTATTTTGTTTTACTCTTTGCACTTTGCAAAGCATATAAATCGCAACTACATTTGTGGTTTCCTCTTTTGCGTGGTGCTTCATTCTGGACCCGTTCTCGTATTTTACTGGCTGCTGTTGGGTATTTGCTGACAATGATTGCTCGACTGCAAGAAACAGCAAAAGCACTTAACACTTTTTTTTTGCGCTCGCGAGCATCGGGTGCATGTGACCTGCATTTGCACGCATACACACAAACGCACACATGAAAGTACTTTCATACTCATGCAAACATACAATTGAGATCTGTATGCTTGAGTGTGTGTGGTGTGTGCGCATATCAATTCTTCGTGATTTGAAGTGGTTTTACCTAGCCCGTCAAAATGTTTGTGTGCGGCTGCCACAAATTGAATTGCAATGGTCTAGCGTTTACTTGAAGGGTAAATAATGATTATAAATCGTGCCGCTGAGGGATTTGTCGCTTAATTGAGTTAATATGTTTCAACTTCAGATTCAATAACACGAAGCGCAAGAAACAAAAAGATACACTGCAGCAAGGGTTGCCAGATGGCTTCAATAGAGCAAAGTGAATGGCAAGTGCTTAATGATGCTTTAATAGTAAATACAAATTAAGCTTGATGCAAACGGGAATTTCCATATATATTTATATATTTCTATTTTTATAACCAGAGCAGCTTTCATATCTCTTATATTTGATTTATTGAATTGAAATATATATAAATTCTATTATCTGCTGTGCTGATCAATGTCATTGCAGCATACAAATTTTTGACAATCAGCGTACCATGTGCACATGCGCCAGTGTTGGAAATATCGCTAATTGACGCAAATGATTTAACGATTGGCCAACACTTATCATGATTTCGAAATTAATTGTGAAATGTGGAAAAGTGGCGCTTTGTCTTTGCTAATTTTTTCTTTTCCCTTTTTTTTTCTCAAGTGCAAATTGTGAAATGAAGTGAAAGTGGTATTTGTAAATATCGCCATGTTCAGTGTAAAAGTGAAGTGCTGCAACAATGAAATTCAATTGCAAAAAATTTTAGCAGAAAAAGTGCTTGCGGCAAGTAATAAATGTAGCTAAACACAGGCTACAGAGTTAATTTGCGTGCGTGTGTGTGTTCGTATGTGTGTGCACACTATAAATCTCATTGTCGAATCTATTTGATTATCTGCGCGCACGTTAGCGACCTCCGCCGAGTTTATCCTGTCTGCTGCTCTGCCCAAAGCTCATAATCGGCTTTGCTGCACAGCTATTGCAAAATTCATAAATCTTATGTATGTAATGCGGAGTTTGTGATCTATGGAAAAACAGCGGAGGCTCTATGAATCTAATTCGCCTATGGCGTCGCTGCTGCTTTGGCATACAACAAGCATGAAAAAGCAGAAAAGGAAGAAGCAGAAGAATTACAAGTCACTTAGGCTTAGTACGCTGCACGCTGATTTCACATGCAAAACATAAGAAGTGAGTCATATTGATAAAAATATTTATTTAATATATGTAGGTATTTATTTAATTGTTTTATTTGAATATATTTTTATTTATTATATTTATATACAAGTAATCGTTTTATTAAAAATTTTCAGAATAATAATGTGAATATACACCAATATATTTTTTTTAGCTAATTAATTAACTTTTGCCTTAAGACACTATTTTTTTTTTCCTTATTTATTTATTTTTTTTTTTATTTATTTATTTTTTTTTTTTTTGTTTATTTATTTATTTTTTTTAAAGCGAGCACGTAAACAAATTTCAAATTTATTACATCTTTATGTAACCAGGACTCCAAAAATTTCATTTGACTAGCTAAAAACTAAAAGCAGAAGCTCCAACGTCATTTGTTTTCATCTTTGGCCATACCCAATGCAATATTGGAAATACTCACACATGCACACATAAATAGATATCTTGGTATGTATCTTCCGGGTAGGGCAAACATTTTTGTACAAAATGCAATTTTCAAGTGAAGGTGAAGTTGAGTTAAGAGCTCTTTGTATGCTGCTTCAGGGAGCGGAGCACAAGGATGCTGCAGCCAAGTTCACGTAGGTAGAAACTTAAGCAGATTGTTAGCGAACAGAAAAACAAGAAAAATTTAGAAAGATGTGGGGTTCAACGAATTTCATAATACGCTATGAACAATATTTAGGTTTTATATGTGAAAATGTTTATTCATATAGAATTTCTAGCGGAAAATGAATTATGCAATTTGTATATTTAATTTATTTTAGCAGTCTCTCTATATATCATTATTAAACATTTGTAATAGTTTAAATAGGGAAACAAAAAATACCTGAATTGATTTACACTTATGAACTTGTATAAATATTTTTTCAAATTTGGTTTGGGAAATAAAAAAAAAATGTTTTGTTATTGTAATTATAAGAACACAAAATTGAAAAGTTTAAAACGTATTAAATTCACATATTTTTCAGTTGGAATAAAATTAGATTTTAAACTTCTAAAAAAGAAACGTTCGTTTTCGTAAAATTGATTCTGCACATTCCTTTGTCGCTTAACCGTACCTATGGCAGAGTATGAGAAATGTATAAATTTAATACGAGCATAAATTCTCAACTAAATGCAATTACGTTTGTTGCCAGCGTAGCGCAGGGGCAGCTCCATATAGTGCATGGTAAAGGCTTAAGGATGGAACATTCTGGGTGGTGCGGGGCGCTTGTAAGTCGGGAAGTGCAAATCTAATAGCAAAGCGAGCAGGCGAAGTTAAAGACATAGAGAGAGAGAGAGGGGAAGAAAGATGGAGATGGAGATGGAGATGAAAAGTTGTTGCATATGCAAAAGGCATCAACTGAGAGAGCTTTGAGCATTTGCTGCTACCAATCAAATTGTTGTTCATGGTGGGAAATAGTGATTGCTATAAACATTTACTGTGCACAGTGAGTGCCGCATGTCCATGTGCATGTCTACCTTTACAATTATTGAAGCTTTCACAGCATCAGCAACAACAATTCGAACAACAACACGTCAACAAAGACAATCAAACGCTAAGTCCCTGTAGCAACTTTATCGACTGCAACAGGGAAACTCAAAATTCAAAACAGAGAGAGAGAGAGAGAGAGAGAGAGAGAGAGTGAGAGACACGAAAAAATAGTTACCAATGTGCGTTTGCCACGGCTTTTACATTTTCAGCAAAAAAAAAAAAAAAAAAAAAAAAAAACAAGATGAAATTTGTTATATTCTTTTGCTTGCGTGAGCAAATTGTTGTTGTTGCTGTTGTTGCTGGGCCATTGTTTTTCTTGGTTCAGCAGGCTTCCTGGCTGCCTGGCAGTCTGGTAGTCTGGCCATCACACCTACCTAGCCTGGCTGGCCCTAATGGCATCCAAATGGGCGCCATGTTTCGTCATTGCCTTCACATTCCTCCCGCCCGTTGCCGCCGCCGCCTGTTCAACACGTGCCAGCATTCTGCTTCTTTTTTTCGTGCCATGTTCGATAAAGACAAAGGCATGTGAGGGGCTGTGGGCGTGGGAGCTGCACCGACTGCTGCAGCTGCTGAATGCGTTTGCCGCCTGGGCGAGAAATTGCAATATTGAAAATTATGTGCAGCACTTGAAAAATGGCTAATAAACGAGATTAAAATTGCCAGCGGCATGATTTTCAGTTATCGAGAGTGCGATGGCATTCAGATTATGGCCGCAATCGACAACATGTTGTCGATTACGTCCAAAAGGACGAGCTATTGAAGAGCAGGTAGTTGAGCCAAATGCCGAAATTGCTTTTCTTATGAGTGAAGCAAGTGTATGTTTCAGACTGGAGAAAATGAAGGAAAAGTGGGCTAAAATAATCCAAGAAGTTTTGGGTCTTTAAGAAAACTTAAAATATGATACAGCTTCTTAGTTTCCCTTTTAATTGAAACTCATTTTTCTGAAGACTAAAGTGAACAAAATCACAGTAAATAATATATTAAATTCAAATTAAATTTTAAGTAATATCATATATTTACAGCATTCAATATTCATATGTATTTAAAGTTGTAAATATATTCTCAGTAAATTAAAAATACAACACGCATTTCTTTGTACTTTCACATATTTTAAATCTTTCACATAAGCTGAAAATAATTTCCCCCTTGCTTTAAACGGAATTAATTCCTTGCATTGCCTGCATAACTTGCAGCATAC